CACAATGTTAGCAATCTAAACACAATATAATATTAACTACAAAGTAAATAAGTACTAAAAGATATTAAAAATAAGAATGTGAATATATACAACCAGGATTTAACTCAAGCATTACTAGTCTTAAATAGGAAGATTAAATATGGAAGATTGAATGTAAATGTGCAAAAACAGAGTCGTAAATAGTCGTAAATTAAATATGAAAGATTAAATGTAAATGTGCAAAAACAGAGTAGTAAATGGACAGTATTGACATAAGTTAAAGTGCATGAGTGTAGACATATAAGCAGAAACTATACAATATAACGGCGAGTAGACAGACAAATGAAGTGACCTTGAGTGCAGGGATAATTTGTAAATTTAACAAGTGCAGAACAGCTTACAGTATGGAGAGACAGATATTATCATGATGACAGTTCTCTGCTCACATGAGGTGAGTTGTTGTACAGAGTTATGGCCTTCGGTAAGAAAGATTTATTGTATCTGTCCTTGTGACAGCAGAGTTGTATCAGTCTGTTGGAGAAGCTGCTCTGCTGTTTGCCCAGTAGGGTGTGCAGAGGGTGATCAGGATTATCCATAATGGATAACAGTTTGTTCAGAGTCCTCCTCTCTGTCACCACTGCAAAAGAGTCCACCACAGACATGTCCTCTCCCAGGATGCACAGCGGTGGTGGCTCTGTCCTCTTCCTTCTGAAGTCGATCACCATCTCCCTGGTCTTATCCAAGTTCAGAATCAGGTGATTTCTTCCTGTCCACTCCACAAAGTTATCCACCAGCTCTCTGTACTCCCCCTCTTGCCCATCACTTATACACCCCACCACCGCAGAGTCATCAGAAAACTTCTGCAAGTGGCATGACCTGGAGTTGTACTGAAAGTCAGAGGTGTACAAGGTGAAAAGGAAAGGAGACAGCACAGTCCCCTGTGGAGCTCCTGTACTACTCTCCACCATTCCAGACTGAACACTGCCAAGTCGGACAAACTGTGGTCTGTCTGTCAGGTAGTCAGTAATTCAGGAGTTGATGGACGAGTCCACACCCATCAACTGCAGCTTCTCTTCCAGCAGTTGTGGCTGGAAGGTGTTGAATGCACTGGAGAAATCAAAAAAGGTGATTCTCACAGTGCAGCCGTTTCCCTCCAGATGTGAGTGAGCACGCTGCAGCAGGTAGATGATGGCATCGTCCACTCCCAGGTGTGGCTGGTAGGCAAATTGTAGAGGGTCAAGGGATGGTTTCACCTGCGGCCTGAGGTCGGTCAAGACGAGCCTCTCCAACACTTTCATCACATAAGATGTGAGAGCCACTGGTCGATAGTCCTTCAGATCAGATGGTGTCATCTTCTTTGGGACCGGGACCAAGCAGGATGTTTTCCACAGCACCGGTATCTTCTCCTGGCTCAGACTCAGGCTGAAGAGGTGTTGCAGAATCTCAGACAGCTGGCTGGCGCAGGTCTTCAGAACCCTTGGGCTGATGCCTTCCGGGCCTGGAGCCTTGCTAATGTTTAGCTTCTCCAGCTGTCTCTTCACCTGGCCAGTTGTTGGAGTCAGGGGAGGGATGGATCAATTCACCTCAGAGGGGGAAGTGCAACAGTCAAGTTCCAAACAAATGGGGCCATAATTTAAAAATAAACAACATGCTCTGTTCAATAAGGTTTATTTAAATGTTTTAATGTTTGAAACACACTGTACCTTTGATCTGTGACATCACACTGCCCACATAAGGCAGACGGCATGTCAGCATCACTAAACATTCACTATCAACACAGATCTCACTGTGCTCTGTACAAGAGACAACTTCTCACATCTAACGTGCAACAAACACAAAGGGAACCAAGAAATCATTTTCTTCATCAACAAATAAACCTTTACACAAGTGTACAATATATTTCTTAAAAAATGGAACCAAACGAAAGAGAATTGCCAAGTTATGGCTTGTGGCGTGCCCCATTATCAAATGAAGAAATTGTGCAATCTTATGAAAATGGACAATATATTGCAACATCTCCCAAACCACTTCTGGAGATGTTTAATGCAGCTAATCACTCAGCTCAGGATACAATCAAGAAGCTAGAGTGTGAGAATGAAAGCCTGAGGGAGGAGAATTCAATGCTGATTGAGCAGAGGCGCAGCAACCCTGAGGAGCCACAAAGCTTCAAGAGTGAGACGGAGCAGGAAAAAGGAGACATGAGGGCCATCATAAAAAAGATGGAGGAGGACTTTCAGGAGGAGAGGAAATCATGGCAGACAAGAGTGAGACAGCTCGAGGAATCCAACAGAGAACTCGATGAAGGCACGAAACGAATGAAGAAAGAAGAAACTTCTCTTGAGGAAAGTCGGCACATTCAGAGAGACGAGAACGCAGCAAATTCTGAAAAGGAAGAGGAGAACACTGCCGCAAAACTGAAGGAATGTGAAGAAAAGTGGCAGGAGAAAATGAGACAGGTTAGTCGATCGAAGAGAGAACTCGATGAAGGCAAGACACAAATGGAGAGAGAAATCAACACTCGTGAGGAAATGTTGCGCCTGCAGAGAGAGGAGAATGCTGCGAGGCTTTCAGCCATGGAAGATCACTACCGAGAGGTGATCAGTATTAAAGAGGAAAACGCTGCCGTAAAACTGACCGAAAGTGACAAAAAGTGGCAAATGAGAGTGAGACAATTTGAGCAGGAGCTGGAAGTATCCAAAAGTGAACTCAGTGAATGCAGAATGCAGGTTTCAAGAGAAATAGACTCTCTTGAGGAAGCTCTGCGCCTGCAGAGAGAGGAGACTGCTGCGATATTTTCAGCCATGGAAGATCTCTACCAAAAGTTGGCCAGTCTTAAAGAGGAGAATGCTGCCACAAAGCTAGGGGAATGTGAAGAAAAGTGGCAGATCAAGGTTGGACTGCTGGAGAGGAAGTTGAAAGACCAGAAAGACCTTTTCTCCTCTTTGTTAGAGAAAGCGATCGGAGTCACGGAGGAGCACGAGCAAAACCTGATTCGGTTTGGAGAGATTCGATCAGAACTGAGCAGGAACAACAAGAAGTGGGAAATTAAATGTAGATCTCTGGAGGAGAACTACATAAAGGAGCTGGCTGAAAACGAGGAGAGCTGCCAGAGAAGAGTAAAGGAGATTGAAAGAACCAACGAACTCGGGAAGCTGTTTCTCCAAAGAGAAGAAGAGTGGAGACAGATTATGGAAGCCAAAGACATCAAGCTTCAGGGGCTCCTGAAAAAAAGAAAGCCATGGTGGAAGAAACGCTTGCAATTTAGAAGAAGGAGACAGCGCAACTCAGTAGAGTATACTCAGCTTCAGGCATAATCCAATGAGACTACTCCCCCCCCCCCAACCCCCCAAATGATTTCTTTCTTTCTTTTTCCTTTCTTTGTGTAACTGTATATTGTCTTGTCTTTCATCCTTGCACCAGTGTATCTTTTCTTTTCCTCTCTTTCCGTCACATTTTGCTATTGTGGGTTCTCCTTCCTTCACTTTCCCCGTCTCCTTATTCCAGTATATAGTCCTTTTTCTCCCGTTCTACCCAACGGGTTGTCGCAGATGGCCACCCAATCAGAGGACAGTGGATAAAGTCAGAAATCAGTGAGAGAGAGAGAGAGAGAGAGAGAGAGAGAGAGAGAGAGAGAGAGAGAGAGAGAGAGAGGGGAATGACATGCAGGAAAGGAGCCACATGTTTGATCTGAACCCGGACAGCCCACTTGGAGGACTATGGCCTCCGTACATGGGAAGCACGCACTAACCACTGGGCTACCGGCGCCCCCATTATGAGGGAGCTTTTCCTTGCCACTGTCTCCATACTTGCTCTGTTAGGAAAGTTGGGTTTCTGTATTAAATGTAAAGAGCACAGTCTAGACCTACTAGACTCATTTTATTTAATTACTTTATTTTACGTTTATTTTATATACAGTATACAGTTAGATATTTATTTAGGATTGGATTTATTTTTGATTGATTATGTAGATAGATTTATTTTTACTAAATGTTTATTTTTATATTAGATTATATTTTTATGTAGAGTGATATATATATTTGATTATATTATATTAAATTATATATGTTTATTTTATATTCAACACCTTAATAAATAATGATTTCTTATTTTTAATTATATAATATAATTAATATAATATTTATCAGTTTTAATGAGTTGCATTGTTATGAGTATTTCTTGCATTACTATTTTTTATAAGTATAAGTATTTTTAACTTCCTTATTAAATTTGTATAGATCGACAGAAAGAGTCAATTGTTCGCACGTTGCGTAACAGTTTACAATAATGAGAATCAGAATCCGCTTTATTGGCCTGGTATGCTCACATACACGAGGAATTTGACTTTGGTAAACTGTGCTCTCTATGTACAAAAAGTATGTCAATAAATATCAACAAAAAATACAAAATAAGCTAAGACTACTATGACAACCGTGCAGCGATAAGTAGTTCAAAAAGGTTTAAATAAATATGATAATAACAGTAATTATTTAACAGATGGGTTAATTTGCATGAGGAAGATAGTTTTACAGTACTTAGGCTTACATTAATCAGTGTGCATAGATTGATATCAGATTTGGAGGATAATATTACAGTAGTTACGTGATACATTCGCAGTGCGTGTTTGGTTTCAGGGTTATTTGGCAGATCTGACACTGTGTGACTGCAGTAATATACTGTAGGCTATATCGTTCATCTTCAACTTTCCATTTTTCCTTAGCCCTGTTCCTAAAAGTAGCTCTGCAGTCTTTGACTAAAATACAGGTTAAAGTTGTGTTTTAACACAGCAGCCACCAGGTGTCGCTACGATGCTACTTTTTCCACTAATGACTGTAAAGGAAGACGCTCGTGCTGCCTCATAAAATAAACCACAGAATGAGGAACGGGTGAGTTTGGACTAAAAGTAAAACGGGACGAATTAAAACACATAAAACAACACTGGGTTCACAGACAAAAACCTCAAAAAAATTTGAATGTCACATGACGCTTCCCCACCAATTAGGATCTTTCCTCAAACTCTTGCCACACGAACAGGAAGTAAACACCTGTCACCTGACTTTTCAAAAGTTACTTCTAACTTTATGATAGCCACCTAACATCCTTTTCAGTTTGCTGTATCATATTGGCGCATGTTTCATTCACCCAGTCGGCCACAATTGACGTAATCTGTCCGTTTCTCACAATGGCCAGTTCGTTTCAAGATGCATCGGCGCTCGTAGCGGAGGCTCGCCGTCTTTATGGGCAGATGTTCGGGGAGGAGGCTCCTCAGGTGGCGGTGTGTGCTCCTGGAAGAGTCAACCTGATAGGGGAACACACGGACTACAATCAAGGATTTGTGCTTCCTATGGTAACATCATGACTGGTCAATCCCTGACAAACAAAAAAAACCTATAGGCTACACTTGAGTGTGAAAATGAGGGGAAATATGTTGTCATACCAAATGTCATTGGAAAATAAGACAATTTAACTTTCGCGTGCACGCTGGCGGGGTCACTGTGTTCACAACCAAAGTTCAACTCATCTAATTGTATTTTAAGGAGCTGCTTTACTGTTCGGCATGCATGAGAAGCAACCTGCAGTCATAAGTAGAGATGCACCGATTGGGAAAATCAGGACCGGTACCAATGTTTGAATTAACTTATTTTCTGACACTGAATCCGATGTTTGTTTTCATGACTTGCTTTGGTGAAAGACTCCCACAATGCCAACATTTTGTCTCATGTTTGACAACGTATGCAAGTCAGATTTTGTTCGACAGGTGCCTTCATCTGACCAATTAAAACCTCTTCTCTTATTTAGCTTCACTATATGCCAGCATTAAATTGATTTGGCACAACAGATAAACATCGACTGACATTGTTACATGCTACAATATTTGCTGGTGTTCTGATGTGTGTCAACAAGGCTAATATCTGATGTTAAATTGGTGCATCCCTAATAAATAGTTGTGCAAAAATGCAGCTGTTAAAATAAAGTAGCCATTTGCGTTTTATTGCATTAAAAATGTCGTTGCAGAAACAGGATTTTCTTAGCTGTTTAGTGGGCATGTCAACTTAAACGAAAGAGCAAATTCTAAAAACAAAAACTGTAGTTACATATTACAGTGTTTAGCATCTTGCAGTTTTCTTCGTGAAGTATTAAATGGGGACTGGTGTGATAATTCCTCTGTGACCGAGATAACTATTTGCATCTCTTTGTGTTTGATGAACCATGCAGGCACTTCCCTTGGTGACTGTGGTGGTAGGGAGTCGAACCTCTGGCCAGGATGTTACTATAGCAACAGCAACTGGGGATGCTGACGAGCCTCACAGAGTGAACTTCAGCCTGTGTAGTGATGGATCAACGCTGGCTCCAGGGTTACCCAGCTGGGCAAACTATGTGAAGGGGGTTATACAACATTATAGAGGTAAAAAAAAAAAAAGGTATCAATAATTGTGTTTGCTGCTAACAAACATGACCGGGGAATTAATGGAATTTGTTTTTAAATCTCAGGAAAAACAAGTTATAATTATTCCTTCAACAGGTTACAAATCAAAGAGTACCTGACCTGTTAAAGTGAGTGTTATCTTGCCCTGTCTTGTTCGCACACCATGATATACATAATGAATACCTTCTTGTGTCTTGTTTGCTGCAGCATCTCCTGTCCCAGGATTCAGGGCGGTGATAGCCAGCAGTGTCCCCCTGGGAGGAGGTCTGTCCAGCTCCGCCTCGCTGGAGGTTGCCTTCTACACATTCCTGCAACAACTCAAGCCAGGTCAAGTTTTACAGAGACTACAGTCAGACTCATTTGACTGATTCTTTTTTTTTTTTTTTTTTTAAGGAAAATGCTGATATTCACCAGACATGTCAGCATAGCACGCTGAAGGTGATTTAGAGGATATTGCTCGAGGGTAGTTCTGCTATATAAAAAAACGGGGCCGCTCTTTTTGACTTTGATAGTCTCATATTAGTACTGTTCATGTCAGACAACAACACAGAAAGGATTCCCAAAGAGATACATCTCCTTGTGAGGAAAATTATTATATTTTTAACTAGAAACAACTACTACCCCACTCTCTGCAATGCCACCAAATACCTTAACTTTCTAGTTTTTGGTTTTATTCTGTATGACACACATATTGTGTCTGATCCGTATACTGTAAATATGAATGGACCAAGCTTTAGTGACGTCAGCAATCTGTTCCCGGAGACTCATCAGCAGCAGCCGCAGTGCTGTAAATCCTGTCTCAGTCTAACTTTCAGTCAACCTAACGAGCCTCTTGACAAACCGTTTCATCGCGCCCACCTGTCAATCATGTCGGCTACCCGCCTAACTATGGATAACACATATCGTTTATTAAATCAAAATGGATGCGTCGTAAAAAAATACACCCCCTGTACATTGTGTGCCTTACTAATAAAACCAATACTGTTTTTTCTGCCAGGCTGTAAACATGTTAATTTATGCTGTAAAAACGACTCTTTTTTTGGCTCTTGTGTGTATGTTACTTTCGGGGCTCTGACTTGGACTCAGCCTCAAGCGGACCCTTGACAAACTGCATGATTTTGCACTTCTGCATTGGCTTCACTTTTTAACACCGGAGGTTGCAGCTTGGTTATATCAGGAAAAAACATTTGAAACCCCTAATTTACTTAATGAAACACAAAACAATATAGCCAGTTGGAAATCTAAAATGTTTATAACTTTTTCATTAACTGAAACTTAAATAAAAATGATAACTAGCTGAAACTGTTTTGTAAATGAAAATGTCCTAAGTTAACGTCTTTGACACAAGCACAGGGAGTGACACAGAGCCTGTGTGTACAGTCTGCTCTCTGATGTACGTAGCTTTGGATCAAAGTTTCTGCTAAGTGATTTGTAGAATATAATCTGTCTCAGGTATGTCAGTTTCAATTCTGGATAACCTTGCTGACTTGACTGCACACGTTGAAGTTTTCCCCTTACTTAGATAATATTTTACAGGAGAAGTTACTTGCAAACTTGTTAGTTGATCTACCGTTATATTCTGTGATCTTTTGTGATCTTTGTGTTTGTTCCTACAGATGATGGAGACAAGGTGTCCAAAGCTCTGGCCTGTCAGAAGGCAGAACACACTCATGCTGGCGTACCGTGTGGCATCATGGACCAGTTTGTGTCTGTTCTCGGCAGAGAGAGCCACGCTCTGCTCATTGACTGCAGGTAGTGAAATCAACCAATGAGAGAAGTTTGATCATTCTACTCCACTGGTGTGTTTTAATTTCTACATACTTTATTTCCACTCACCCTGATCAGTCGTGTTTTCCTCCCTTGTCTCTCTCAGGTCTCTGGAGGCCACCCCCATCCCCCTGACGGATCCCGGCCTGGTCATCCTCATCACCAACTCCAATGTGAAACACTCTCTGACCGGCAGCGAGTACCCTGCGAGACGCAGACAGTGTGAGGAGGCCGCCTCCATCCTGGGGAAGGACAGTCTCAGAGATGCTACCATGAAAAACCTGGAGGGTATGAATTGAATCATTCTTATTTTTCATTTTGTCTTATGTTATTGTTCCCTGCCTGTGCTCTGTCCTGATTCCTTCCCCCCATATCTATTGATATAATTCCCTCCTGTTGCCCTTGATCTTGTTTCTTGTTTTACTTTTTCTGCTCCAGTAATTTGTTAGTGGTTGTAGGTGATGTAGACGAGGTGAAATTTACATGATGTTAAAAAGACACTGTGTAAGTCCATGATGGCAGACAAAGCAGCAGAGTTCAACACTATTATTAAAGTTTTTTGCCTTTAATGTTATTATATTAAGGGGGCTTTGGGTCTTTATTATAGTGCTTTCACACTTTCACTAAACTCTTCAAGCTTTCAGGAAGAACCACGGGCCGCTGCATAAAGGACTACAACCTCCGTACATGGCGCCGTACAGCTGGCAGGAAAACATCTGGATAAAGTTGGGGCGATAAAATGGTTCTGTTTGCGTTCACACATGCATCTCATCCTGATCATTTGTTCCCTGTTACTAATGCTAATTATGGCAGGTAAGAGGTTGAACACAGTAAGCCTTACCTCAAAATCCAACCGCTTTCATCACCTCGTGTTTGGACTGGTAATGTGAGCTAGGAAGTGGCTGTGTTTTTAAAAAACATTTTATATATACTTTAATTTTTATCAGGGAGGTCATACATAGTCCAGAATTAAAAAGATGTGCACAAATCACTTCACACACAGATGTATAACAAATATATGATGATAAAGACATCATACAGGTAAGTGTATCAGGCCATCTCTCAACAAAAATCTGTCTTCCAGCTGTTGCTCTCCCTTTCATTTTACTTTACAACAAAATATAAACATCAGAACAAAAGAAACAAAAGATGTCACACTCACTCATTTATCCACAAAGATGCATTCACAACAGTCTCCTCAGTAGGCAATTTAGCGAGGTAACTCAAGCATATCGGGTCTCCGTGGGCTAATTACTTGACCCATTTTGACCACAATCCCTTAAATTTCTCTCACTGTATTTTTATAGAGAATGTTATTCTCTCCGTAATGTAAATTTCATAAACAATTTTATACCAGTCCTCTAATGTTGGAGCGACTTGTTGTAACCATTTCCTAGTCAGGGCTGTCTTCCCTCCGACAAGCAATATTCTCATGAAGTATTTGTCTGCTGTTATATCGTCAGAAAATCAAATGGAATAGAGATTTGAAATCTAGTTTCTAAACATTTATGAACGTCCTCCCAGACTTCATTCTTGGACATTCCCAAAATAAATGATAATAGTTGGCTAAATTTGAACGACATAACCTCCAACAATTTGTTCCAGTACCTAGATGTCTCTTCTGAGCAGGGGAAATGAAGAATCTCAGGATGCTTTTCCACCCAAATTCCCTCCAGCTGTGTGACGATGTAGTTTTCCACTGTAATTTACAAATATTATCCCATTCCTCTTCAGATATCGACATACCTCCTTCTTGTTCCCATTTACTTTTAACATACAGGGTATTAGAACTTAAAGAGTCCAGAAAACTTGTATATAATCCAGATATTATTCTACGTCCACTCCCGAATATGCAAGTTGTCACAAAGACATTTATTATATCATTATTTACTTACCCCAGTGCCTCTGTCATAATTGCATAACCGATGTCTTACCTGTAAATATCTAAAAAAAAATCCTGGTTTTCCAGTCCATAGTCTCTTTTGAGAGTTTCAAAACTCCTTAATTTTCCACCCTGCATCAAGCAACAGTATGCCGTTATCCCTTTACTCTTCCATGTTTTAAATCTGGAGTCTGTCCTGTTTGAGATAAAGTCCATATCATATGCACACCATCGTAGTATTTTCTTTGGCACTCTTCAGGTGATGATTTTTAACCACTTTCTGACATATTTTTTAAGTTATTTTTATCCAAGGGTTGTTTTTATCTGCAAGGTTTCATATCAATTTACTGTTTGCTATTGCAGTTTGTAATGGTGGAGCTGGAGATTCTCCCTTTTCTATTTCCTTCCACCTTGCCTTAAACTCTGAATCGCAGAGGCACACCAGAGGTCTTAATTGAGCTGCATAGTAGTAATCTTTTAAAATTGATAATGCCATTCCCCCTTTTTCTTTGGTTAATTGCATTACTTTGTATTTTATTCTTGGTTTCTTACCAGTCCATATATACCGTGAAATTAGCTTATCCCATTCAATAAATTGCAGATCTTTTATTTCAATTGGCAGAGAATTGAAAAGATATAACAAACGAGGCAAAATAACCATTTTAATTGATTCAATCCTTGAAGTTAAACTTGGGAGGGGTATGTGATTCCATCTGGAAATATCTGACTTAATTTTGATATTTAGAGGGGTGTAGTTAGCTTCATATAATTTTGTAATAGCCTGAGTGAGATTAACCCCTAGGTACTTCATTTACTTTTTGTCACATCTCAGACTATATTTGGTCAGGAGGTGCTTTGGTGGATCAGAGTTGAAAGTCAGAATTTGGGTTTTTTGAATATTTAGCTTATAGCCTGATAATTGGCCAAATGTTCCCAAAGATGACATTAAAACTGGTAGAGATATTAGAGGTTGGCTCAAAAAAATGAATACGTCATCTGCAAATAAAGATAGTTTCCTCTCCTGCAATATATTTATACCTAAGTTTGTCTAATATATTGACTGAGAGGTTCTATTAATAGGGCGAAGAGAAGTGGTGAACGGGGCAACCCTGCCTGCATGAACACTCTAAAGGATTTTGAGAGACTGCTGTTGATTTTAATTCTTGCCTTCAGATTACTGTATATGGCTTGGAAGGCCTTGATAAGAGTTTTGTGAAATCCAAAGTTTTCCAACACCTTACACAGGAAGGTCCATCTGACTGAATCAAATGCCTTCTCTGCATCGAGTCCCATAAGCATAGCTTGCATTTTATATTGATGTATGTGCCACGTAATATGTAATGTCCTCCTTAAACTGTCCTGAGTCTGCCTCTGATTAATAAATCCAGTCTGGTCCAGGTGAATAAGAGATGGCAACACCTTTTCTATTCTTTTAGCTAATATTGACATGAACATTTTATAATCCACATTTAAAACAGAAATGCGTCTGTCAGTTTTACAATCTAACTTGTCTTTACTTTCTTTCGGTATTCCTGAAATTATTGCTTCCCTCCATGAGGGATCTCTCCCTTTTTGAGTACCCAATTACATATCTGACGTAATCTTGGAGTTATCTGTTCACTAAGACACTTATACAGGAAGTGGCTGTGTTTTAATGTTAGCTGTTGTCGCTACACAAACAGTAACAGTACTCTATTATAGATACAATATATCTGCTCATGCAACTGAAGCAGTTGTATAAATAGCTGTCATCAGGCAGGATGTAATCTATCAGGAAGAATGTGTTGCTGATGCAAAACAGCCAGTAAAAAAACCCTCTGCTGCTCCTCATTCCCTAAGTTATCCCACCTTTCAAAACAATCACCATGACAACCAAAGGACTTTACATCTACTTGGAGCTAAGTGTAGAATTGAAGGTGTGACTTCTGCCTATGTTGGAACTTTCTCAGCTGGTGCAACACCTTAACTATTAGCAGTGTGTAAACTCAAACTAAGCTACGTTTAAACTTAGTCACAGCTGGTGCTGATCTTTTGCATTAACTTTTCCCCCTACCTCTCATTTTAGATGCAAAAGACCGATTGGATGATGTGACTTATCGCAGAGCTCGTCATGTGATCGAGGAGATAGAGAGAACCGTCCAGGCTGCTGAAGCTCTGAAGAGAGGAGCCTACGAAGAGTTCGGGAAGCTTATGGTGGAGAGCCACGACTCCCTGAGGTACAGTTACTGCAGCCGTAGCACATCTGGAGTCACTGTTCAGGACAGGGTGAGGCAGATGTGCGGTAACCTGATGTCCCTGTGACAGAGACCTTTACGAGGTGAGCTGCAGGGAGCTGGATGAGCTGGTGTCTGCAGCCATGGAAGTGGAGGGCGTGTTTGGAAGCAGGATGACAGGTGGAGGATTCGGGGGGTGCACTGTGACGTTGTTGCAGGCCAACGCCATCGACAGGATGATTCTCCACTTACAGGTTAAGACCCACACACTCACATTATATTACATACTGTAAAAATCACAGTTACATCCGGAGTTTGATGTTGTCAGATTTTTCTAAATTTAACACATTCAAGGTGGGATTAAGTGTGTTCACAGAGACAACAGTTAGTCTGTCAGGGGCAGACTTAAGGGAACATTGCTATTATGACCTATTAACTCACATGGTCCAGAAATGAATGAACAAGTCTGAATGAAGACTGAAAACTGAATCATTTTATCTTCCATTACATATAGTTGTCTTAAACTATGCATCTGCACTAAACGGCCTATCCAGTGCATAGGGCATGCTGGTGTACCTAGAGGCATGCACATTTTTTTTTACTTTTGCACCGTCAATATCCAAATATTATTCTGATTCGTCTCAACACCTGAAAGCCAAACGGTTTTTAAACTTTCTAATTTTACATTAACGTGCAGCATAAACACACGTCGGTAACATCCTCATTACCTCTTTATTTTTATGTCTCTCTACACAGTTAAACGTTTCATTTGCTAAAACAATGAGGTTTTGTTCCTGTTGTTGTGGACTTTTTGAATCTGAGCCTTTTTTTTTCACATCCTGTGACTGCATACAGCAGACGCCAAGAAGTCAGTTATGCTGTTTTTTAGTCGGGACATTGAACTTTTCTGTTTTTCTGTTCTGTTTTGTGGGAAAACTTTTCTTTGTGAATAGAAATTGAAATGAAAATTGTCTGAGGACATTGTTGGTTTGTTCTCAGCGGATAAAAAGCCCTTTTCATCGTTCTGGCTGTCACTTTAAGGGGGCATTTCAGACAAATTACCCAGTCCCCGGTGTCTTTCTCAGACGGCTCCAATGTGTGTGTGTGTGTGTGTGTGTGTGTGTGTGTGTGTGTGTGTGTGTGTGTGAGGGATCAGGGGTATGAGCTGGGAATAATAGCGAGCTTCGTGGCGGCGGAGCCAGAAGTGTCCTGATATTAGCATGCCGGTCTGGTCAGTGTGGCCCTGCTGCCTTTCTGCTTTAACACAGTCAGACTTTAGGCCCTGCTGTTGGCTGGCACTGAACTGAACCCTTCAGGAGATACATCAACAAAAACTCATCAACAGAAAATCTGAGAAAATGCCTGCATTCATAAGGAAGACATGTTTGCTTTTAAAGCAATGGTTAGAAGGAAGAGATCAGCTGCCTTCTTAAACTCTGGTTTTTATAAATCTTCAGCTTTGGAAGCAGACTTGGCAGATTTCTTCACATCTCCCCGTCTTTGGCGGTATCCCGGTTACCACAGTGGCTTGCTAACTGTCAAAGGGAAAAAGTCTTTCTCGCGAACAAAAGAAACACTTGAACCCTCCACATCCCTCGGTCCTCAGCATTCCTGACCAGAGCAGAAGGATCCTTGTTCTCACAACAACAACATCAACAACAACAACGGAGGATCAGAAAAATCACAGATCACCTTAAAGATGCTGAATCTCAACTCACAGGACGACAACAGGAACTCTCTGCAGGACCCTGTGTCTCTGAACGTCGGTGGAGAAATTTACACCACAACTCTGGGCACTCTGACACACTGTCGGGACTCGATGTTAGGAGCCATGTTCACCGGACAAATCCCTGTGCTAAGAGACAGCAGAGGAAATGTTTTCATAGACCGTGATGGGAAAGTGTTCAGGTATATCCTGAATTACCTGCGCTCCAACTCCCTGGACCTGCCGGACGGCTTTTCAGAGCTGTCGCTGCTACGGAGAGAAGCGGATTTCTTCCAGATACGCCCCCTGCTGGAGGAGATTAACCAGTACGAGGTAAAAATGCCTCTGAGCCTCAGGGGAGGGCCGCTAGGAGCCATAATCATGGTGAAGGTTGACTCAAAGGTACGTGTCTTTAAAGTTAAAATAATGTCAGTCAGACTATGAGTGTTGCTAATTAGCTTCATGAATGAGCAACTTACAGCTCAATTCTAAAAAAAAGCACAAATGATTGGTTCAAAAATGTCACAATAGCAACATTTAAACTAAGCCTGCTACTGAAAATCAAACGATTTCGATATCTGTTTTGATACCATGGCGAAAAATATTGAAGTCTTAGGACCACACCTGTCTTATGAAATTATAATGAGTGTATGTAATTATTTTTTAAGACTTCACTATTTATTGATACTATCTTTCATTAAAACAAGAGATTGTATCGTATTAAAAGCATGTGGTGGGGAAAAAGTAAGGAAGTATTGGACATTTTGACGTTCTTATTAACTGCATTTGCAATTATTTTTAATCAATCCAGCAGTCCAGGCCTTTTTATCCTCCTAATATCTTGAAATCAGATGTTTAGCTGGACTTGTCAGGTGAATGTGGCTCATATTAAGTGTGATGAGATATTTTTAAAATAAGATAAACACACTCGCTTAGATCTGAGTTTTTGTAGGTAACCAGAGTGATTGCGTTGCAGAAACTACAGCCTGTTTCATTGCTTCTGGCTGAAGAATTCATGCAGTTTTTTTAAATTCCAAACTTTTTGAAGCTATTTGTCAGACCTGGAAACATGTAACAAAAAGCCAATGTGTAAGATATCAGAATATCCTTTTTGCCTTTAAGAATATTTTACCTTTTATCAACCTTTGATTCGGTGTTGAGTTGAAAACTGGCTTTCACTCGACCTTTTGATTTAATGTTTACTGTTTAAACTGTCCATAAGAACAGGAGCCTCTCTTTGCAGAGACACAGAAAGACAGGTTCTCTGTTTGTGTACACTGTTGAGAGTGTGTAGTCAGCATGTTCTGCCTTCTCCTTGCAGGTCCGAGTTCTCCACTTTAACTTGCGTCATGGACCAGAAAACTATGAGCTGCGCACATGCTCGGTGCGAGCCTTCACAGTAGACCTCTTTTGCACTTGGACAGCTTTCCTGGCTCTGCTATGTGAGCACTTCTCCTACAGAACATCCCAGGGACTCACAAGCCCCCATCCATGCAACCCGAGGCAGAACAGGCTGAAGCTGGAGTGGGTGCCAAGGCCTGAAGACCTCCCCCAGGAACAGTATGACAAGCAGCGCTACCGAGGGCTTACTGTCTCCAACCCCGCCGAGGTCAACCAGTCAGATGACATCATCAACAGGCACTGGAGCCCGTGTGAAATCCCAGACATGCAGGGGTTTGTGGAGGAGCTGCTGAAGGTGTCTCTGGCTGAAGGATTCAAGATTGACCTGGTGACTCCTGATCCAGCAGAAGTTCTTCACTGCACCTCACTCCGCCTGGTCAAGTGCTAAACTCTACGAGATGTTAGTCTCTGTAGCTAGTGTTGTAGTACTCGAAATCGGTCTTGGTCTTAAGACCACTTTTTAATGGTCTCGGACTCGTCTTGCTATCGAAAGCATTTGTACTTGGTCTTGTCTCGGACTGGGTGGACTCTGGATTTTAAATAAAGACCGGCCAAGACCACCACTGATAGGCTATTTTTCCAGGTCATTACTGTGATAAGAACGAAACGCTTCTCTTTAAAAGAACGAATAACTTTAATTAATTCATAGTTTGATTTTTATTCCCGGTTACGGCCGCAACCTTCCCGGTATTGCGGTCTAAGTGAGTGACACGCCCCCTGCACACAAGATGATGATTTTTCATTGATATTTATGGTCTTGGTCTTGGTCTTGGTCTTGTCTCGGTCTCAATCCCTAAATGTCTTGGTCTCGTCTTGGTCTCTGAGCACTCTGGTCTCGGGTATGTCTTTGTCTCGGTTAGTGTGGTCTTGACTACAACGCTAAATGTAGCTTCAAGGTAAAAAATAAGTACAGGAACAGGTCATCAAACAACAATTATGAGGAGACTTACAAGTTATGTAAAAACAAATTTAACTTGGGCCAATCAAAGCTGTTAGGTCCCACATGAAATCCCAAAAAAGCGTCAACCTTACGTTGCAAAAATGGTTTTCATATCTTAGTTTGGGTCTTTAAAGGGTCTTAAATTTGATTTCAAAAAGTCTGCAACAACCCTAATGACATATAAAGGACTACACAGAGATGAGCCACAATCCAGAGAAATGATGGATGAAGCATCAGAGTACGACGTAATGATAAATGGTTTTACTTTTACATCAATGCTGCATGTACTTATATATCCACAGCATCAATGAATGAGCGAGAAGAACTTACTTGCAACAGAAAAGTCGAATCATCATCCTTGCCCGCTGATTTCTGGTGAATTTTCCTGAATAATTCTGAGCGCGTACACACATAAATTCACCCTTGACTTCAGGTTGAACTTTTACTTGAGGTTGGCAGGATAAATCCTGGCTAAAGTCAGTACCCCAGTACTCAGACATTTTCTGGAGTTTTGTGTGAAAGTGAAATTAATGAACTCTGGATTTTTCTCTGTCGTCACAGAATTATCCATACGTCAGTTATTAACTTTAATCTTTTAACATCTTGTGTTATGTAAATAAGAGATTATTAACACGAGTTTAGATTTAACACTTGAAACATTTTGTATTCAGCAGGTTTATATTTTCTCCTGTTATAGAACTGACCAACTTTTAATTGATTTGCCGTCTTCAATACAAAGTTATTGTGTGCAAATGGTGACATTCTGGGGACATTTAATGCCTAACAATCAGGTTAATCTTTTCTTTTTTTTCCAGACGTGTGATCTAAAAACATAACTTGCTTCATGTTGTATTCCATATATACAGTATGTTTGTTGTAGAAATGTTCTCGGCTGAATCTAGAGATAGGAATGCAACAAAAAGAGCTGTCTAGCAGTGGTAGTCCTGCTTAGAAACAGACATTCTATATAAAAACTTCAATTAAGAAACAAACGATGTCAGTTCTCCAGGAAATTAAATTCTATTTGGAGTTCTTTTTAATAAGACAAGGGACACACACACACACACACACACACACACACACACACACACAAGCAACCAAATCTGACCAAAAACAGTTCCTGTGGTGAGAAAGCCTTGACCAACGTGAAATATCCCTGTGGCTGTCTGTCCATTTAGAAATGAGAAAGTCTCTTTGGTAGTTATGCAGCAATTTAACAAATTGATCCATGATTCTGACCAGAGCAAACGAAATATAGGTGCCCCAAATTTTGGTGCAGCAGCAGCTCAGTCTGTAGGTTCTTGGGTTGGGAACCGGATTCGCCGGTTCAAGTCCCAGTGCTGACCAGATTAGGGTAGTTGGTCTGGTAGCTGGAGAGGTGCCAGGGCACTGCCGAGGTGCCCCTGCGCAAGGCACCAACCCCCCAACTGCTCTGGTGCGCTCCCTTCATAGCAGTGTGTAGCAGCCCCACTCTGACATCTCTCCACTAATGCATGTCCACAGGTCCTGTTTTTGCATGTGTGTGATTTGGGTGTGAGAAGCATGTCTCTCAATAACAGAGTGTAAAGCAGAATTTCCCTCAGGGATTAAAAAAAAAAGTATTTCAAAATCAAATTCAAAAATCAAAATCTTCAAGGTTTGCTCGGGCTCTAAAACTCTGCAGGACATTTTCGCTGATGTGTGGTTTGATTTTTAGGCGGTGTAGCTGTAAATATTAAGGCTGCTTTCATAGTCTTTGTAGCTACTATATGCTGTAACATTTGCAAATGTAGACTTTGTGAAGGTATGTTTACCCAACCGACTCTGCTGGATTATAGGAATTATGACAACTGACTTCACTTGTGATTCAAGTTTTCTGTTCTCGTATCTTTCCACAAACTAAATAAAATCTTCACCCACACATTTAAATTTTTTTGGTGCCTCATGATTAATGGAACTGACCATATTTCCTCGTGGGAGGGCTGCATCCGTTTCCCCTTTGACTGACTTTCAGGGTGATGAGTTATAGACCGAGTGTGTAATTTTAGTTGAGAGGAAGCTGTAGTAAAGGAAGTTTGGAGGAGGAAAATAAGTGTCTCTGCACAAAGAGGAAAGGTGTCTAGTTTCCTCTTGCTCCCTCTTTGAACTTCCTTTTCAACGACTTTTAAGGATGCGCTGGGTGCTTCTGAAAGGCCCAGGGTCAGATTTTCAGATCATCAAATACAAAGTTTGCTCTTACACAGCTACAGTGCTTACCTCATGTTTTGAGGTTTTATTACATCATTATAGATGTCATTTTTGTATTGGTTTACTCAGTTTTCATATCTTTGCTCATTTTGTCCTCAACAGGAGCGATACCGAGGAACCCCGACGTTCTATGTGACGACTCCTTCAGAGGGAGCTCGAGTTCTCAGTCTGTCCTGATCTTTGTCTTCACATCTCCGCTCTTAAACCACAACGGGTCCACTCCTTTTGAAAGGCTTTTGTATCAAAATTTGTTCTTCACTACTAAAATCAAATGATGTTATGCAGATGGAAGCTGATTGAAAAGCATTTTTTTCAATGTGAAAAAAATGCCTCCACTGTGAAATGTGCCTTTCTCTGCTTGTAAAATGATGATGTACTTGCACTCGGGGAATCGGGGAATAGTGGAAAAAAATGTATGTAATATCCATTTGACTTCCATTAAATATATCATGTTGGGAAAATGTGAAACCTTTTATATGACATTCAAGGTGTCTGACAATGTTAAGGAAAGGATCAAGTCAGTAGTATTTTTCGTTGCAGCTTGTAAACAACAGTCAAACTGGACCCCTCCTCCTGGGCTCATCACCCCCCATAAGCGCACACTCACTGCAGGACATATGTTTACTGCTTGTACCTACACAGCAAGCTCCCGCACGCCAGTGGTGTAGTACTAGAAATCAGTCTTGGTCTCAAGATCAGTCTCATGACCACTTTTTGAAGGTTGTTCTCCTCTCAGAATCTAAAGCATTTTTACTCGGTCTTGTCTCGGTCTCAGACTGGGCAGACTCCCGATTTCAAATCAAGACCAGTCATGACCACCACTGATTGGCTATTTTTCCACGTCATTACAGTGATTTGAAGGAAAACACCTCTTTCTAAAAGAAACAAGTAACTCCAATTGATTCATAATTAGATTATCTCCCGGTTACTGCCACAACTTTCCCGGTGTTACGGTTTGAGTGAGTGACACGCCCCCTGCACACAAGATGATAATTTTGATGTTGGACTTGACTCGATCTCGCCCTGCCTTGGTCTTGGTCTTGACTTGGTCTGGATCCCTAAATGTCTTGGTCTTGTCTCAGTCTCGGAGCACTCTGGTTTCGGGTACTTCTTGGGTTCATTAAGTGTGGCTTTGACAACAACAGGTGTCTGTCACCTGCCTGTCCAAGAGAAAGAAGACCAACTTCACATTCGCAGGTAAAAGCCAACACAAGGTTCACCCTCGTTTTGGAACGAGTTTTATCCACTTGGCCTTTCGCCTCAACTTGATTATATTTCTCTTCTTTGCCGCTACGTCCAAGTCAGTCATATTCGCCCGTTTGAATTGTGTCCAATCGTTGATTTGTATCCCATCCTAAACTCACCTGTTTGCTGTCATTGGCTGAGGGAAACACACCAGCTCACCCCCGGAGACCTCCCGAGTCAACCAAAACAAACCAAAACATCAAAATACAGACAGAGTCTCTGCAGACACCACACATGTACGGAGGCCCATAAGTGATGATTGAGCGATATTAATTTAGTATAAGTCTATATTTAATGTTTTAAATGTTTAATTTGAATCCAACACACTATTTGTTAGACAAACAATCACGACTGGACAACATGCTGATCCAGGCAGCGGTAGACGAGCAACTCCCGTGTTCTGCAAGGTGAAGTGCCATTCTGCACTTCTCTTTTAAAGGTTATTCTACAAGTCTTATACTGAAAGTCTTACTAACACTTAAAAATGATTAACCTGCTACTGTTTGTAATCAACTAATGAAGATTTAATACTTTAGTTGTTCAGGTATAAACAAGATGTTAAATTGTACTTTTCCTTTCCTATCTTTTCTGTCAGATATCAAAAAATAAAATAAAGACATTTATTTGTTGTTTCTTCTGCCAGGAATGAAATGCTCTGCAAAGGCCGTCATCTTTTAAAGTTTTGATAGACTATCCCTTTGACTGAAAGGACATGTCACACAGAAGAGTCTGAATTAGCAACAGTTTTAAAAAAAAAGTCCATCCTTTCTGCCTGCTCCACTTTTCAGAAAATGTGTGCTCAAACAGGCCGTTTGGAGATTTTCCCTTCATGACATCACAAAGGGCAGTAACCCCTCCCCCAGGTGGGTGACACTCCCACAGCTAGGTGTTTGTTCTGCCCTCTGAGTCTGCCTTCTCATCGTAAACAATAGGACATGGAGCGAGAAAGCCTGAGTACACCCGAGCCCTTCCAGAGGGCAGTGATAAAAAAAACTAACAGTTGATACCCCAAAATTTGGCAGGTTGACTTCCATTGAAACCATTTGTTCCTCTCAGTTGAAATGAAGGTCAATCAAGTTGTTTCTGAATACTATTCCCCATGGCATTATAGTGGTGCACACTCATTAACTATGCACGCACACCCCCTGTAACAGGGAGCCTGTAATTTGCGTGCATGCATTTTTAAATCTGTTAATGCCCTCAAAAAACAACAACAACATACTACACCAAAATCAATGTTATGGGTTATCATTGACCCATAGCAGACCGGGATAAGAATAGTAGAGTAATCCCATTACCTTTTAGTATGTTTAAAATGCTTCTATAAGTATGTTTTTACGAATGCAAATAAGTGGCATGATACAAACTGACATGTACAGGGCTCATTTTAAAATTCAAAATGACCAAAATAAATTACAAACATTTTATTTAAAGCATAAAAGCAAAAAAAAACTGGAGGAATAGATTTTCTTTTTCTTTTTAAAAGTCACACATATGGTCCTTTTTCCAATTGCAAAGCACTACTCTCCACTGCACTATTATCTCATTTAGTCTTGTACATATTAGTCTTTGCTAATTTTGTGTTTATTGTTGATATTTCATGTTATACCTTTGTACATAGAGAGGCCAGTTCACCGAAGTACAATTATGTGTGTGTGTGTGTGCGTGCGTGCGTGGTGTGGTGTGTGTGTGTGTGTGTGTGTGTGTGTGTGTGTGTGTGTGTGTGTGTGTGTGTGTGTGTGTGTGTGTGTGTGTGGTGTGGTGTGTGTGTGTGTGTGTGTGTGTGTGTGTGCGCAAGCATACCAGGTCAATAAAGCTGATTCTGATTCTAATGCTGCATTCATGTGATGTCGGAAACATCGGAAAAACTAATTTCCCAGTTGTAAAATGCACATGAACACCTGCTCAAGTCGGAACAACAACTCGGACACATAGGAAAAGACTTCCCGACTTGACTACAGAATCTTCATCACATTGGGGGCAAAATATGTTTTGGTAATGTTCACATACTTTTTATTAATTCACGTATTGCACATCAACTTTTTTCCCCCCCTCAAATATCATATTTAACAGAAACATTTCACTGATCTTCTTCATAGCATCAAAGCTTTTTTTTGTGCTTTTGTCACAACATTCAGACTTTCCGAAGTGAAACACGTGAACACACTGAAGTCGGAAGAACGTCTTCCCAAACTCAGAAACATGGAATAACCGAGCAGCGCATGAATGCAGCATCAAAGCTTTGCGAGCTAACGCGGAAGTTGGGCGGAACTTGCTGCGGTAAATGAGGTTTACAAGGTGCAATTGAATGCATCATAAGGGAGGAGTTAGCAGCGGCAGTGAAGTTTAGCCTAGCAGGAAACACCGAAGCTACCGCAGCAGCGGTGGAGAAACAAGGGGCAGATTTTAGTTTTTAACCGGTGTTTAGACGTGATATTTCCTCGGCTTTACCGTATTAATTGAATCTTGGGAGTACTCTTTTTGGGACTGGTCGCAGATTCCCTGTTGAACGAGGAGAGGGCTCCTCACAAAGTAAAACACCGCTCACTAACCGGAGGTGAAATCTTCTCCAGCGGCTGTAACGTTTAACGGTGGACGTCTGCGGAGGAACGGCCGTTTTTGAATCAGGTGGGCTTGTGAGGTGTTTTAATGTTTATAGAGAGCTGCTCCCTTAAGGTGTTTCTGAGGCTCTGAGGAAGCTGGCTAACAAAAGGAACTAACCCCGCTCATCACAGCCACCTGTTTTCCTCCCCACACCTGAACACAGGCTACACCTCAAGCTAGCTTAAAGTTGCTTGTTTAGGCAGACATCATTCTTCTAAGTGCTGACCTGCTAGCTGCCTGATCTTCACTCTTGAGATCACACAAAGTCTCACACAGCAACTTGTTTTCACTACTCTGAAAACAAAGCAAAACAAGTAAAACACATCTATTTTGTGTAAATAACCAAACTAATCTTACAGGTGGTCCTCTGGGACAGTCAGGATCCCCAAGAGGAGGGTCGCGACACGTCTTACTAAACAATTACTACAAATGTAAAATTGTTTGAAATTATATATTTGACCCATTATGAGAAAAGTATGCACAAAAAACTAGTTAAATTTTTAAAAATATATATATTTTAAAAGTAAGTTTGCACATGACAGCAACAATGAGGGTGTGTGCTGCTCTTTACACATCAAGGTGTACACACCTGTGTGTCTACTTATTAAGCTTGTGTGTCCACTCAGGGCTAAAGTCTACATGGAAAGTACTTTGGCAACAGCTTCTTAATATAAGTCACTATATAAAAAACATTTATGGGTTTTTAGAGCCCGACCGATTAATAGGCTGGCTCGATAATACTGGCTGATATTGGCGTATGAAGTGACTTATTAAATCTCCAACATGTGCTGCTGTCACAAGGTTTATTCAATTTAAATTCATTATTTGTTTTTATATAGTTTTTATTTATAATTGTTAATTTCTAAATTAAAATGAGTGTTTCAGTGTACTCGTGTTATTCTGTCAAAAATACAGTTTTGTGTAAGAAAAAAAAAAAAAAAATCTTGTCTTAATTTTCTAACTTAAAGAAATGTGTTTGAATGTCTGTATCATTCGACCTCTAAAGATTGTAGGTAGATCCAAGAAAGCTATCGGCCGAGTGTCAGAATGTTTTTCTCCCTCATATCAGAATCGGCCCCAAAAATCTCTCATCGGTCGGGCCCTGTTTTTTCGGTTGTTGTATTCCTTTGCCCTTAAAGGCGTTAGTGTGGCTGTGATGCCTTCACCACCTCCAGGGACTGTTGGGGTCCCGTCTCTTGCGTTCGGGAAGCCATGCAATGGGCAAACCCTAAAGCTAATTTAACATGTGGGCGGTCAATAACACTCTGAGTTCATGTTGCTTCAGTTTGTATTGTTCTTTAATGGTTTGAATGGTGAATTCATTTCCAACTGAAAACCCTGAAATACCTGAATGACTTGTAAAAACTTGCCAGTCATGTTCTTTGACATGAGTGAGTTTGCTGTAAAAACAAAAAACAAAACAATATTTGTCTAGAATTTGGCACGGATATATTTTGAAACTTTAAATCAGCTTTGCTAAACACTGGCTATTTTGTTAACTAAAAACCTGCAGTCGTCTATAGGTCCAGACTGAAATAATACACATCATCATGAGCGTCATTATTCCAGTTTAAAGCATTTGATAAAGCAAGACCTGAGCCGAACCCCCCCCCCCCCACAGAAACCAAAAGTAAGCACTGGTAGTAAGCGTGAGGTCTGCTGCTCAGCCAGGTGAGTTGTAGTTGTGTGCCATGTTGCATAATGACAGAAATGTATAGCTGGAGTAAGGTGTGTCTACCCAGCAGGTATGTTAGTAAGTCCTTTGAGTCAACGGTCTGGTTTTGGCATGAGTAACTGGAGCGTTTGAGGTGTATGAGGAAGAATCGTTTCACCGGTTTATCTTGTTTCCGCCACAGTCACCAACACAATGTCAACACGTTTTTAACCAACACATAAATACCCTTACTCACAATACTTCCCTTTGACTAAAGTGTAACTCTGCTGTTTAACTTTAAGGTGTCAAGATTTTTGATACTACCTTCTTTTGAATACCATGTTGAAAAGCAACAATCTTTGTGATCTTAATGATTGATAGTATTTATGTCTATTTAATAAGACAGACCTGTGTGTAGGAGAGGATTAAATCCTGTTTCGGTACTGAAAGAAGACAAGAGTTTACCTGCAATTCTTCATTTAAAAACAAGGTATTACACTATCGGGTGTCTAGGAGCTCCATTGCCGTTTGTGTGGTATTGATATTGTTTGATTTTTACTAGAATCATATCAAAGCTTAAAAATCAGAGATTGTGACAACAACCCTTTTTGACTGTTTGTGTCTTTCATAAAGTCATTAGATCATAATTATAAATGTGTCTTCTGCCTCTTAAACCATACTTTGATTAGCTGACTGACAAAGGTTGCATAGGTTTCTGCCTTGTAACCAAAAGCAGCCTTAAGTCACACAATTTGGACAGGAGAAAGCTGAAGGACACAAAGGCCACGTCCTTCTACCTCCACCTGCAGCACTAGCCAAACAAAAAGCCTTTGTTCTCTCCGTGCACGTAGTGCTATTCCACCTGCATGGCAAAGTCCACCTGAAACTATTATGGAGGCAAAACAAACGGCCCCTCCCAAATGTAGGGCAAGCCAAAGAGGAACATGCACCTCCTGAGTTTCTGATATGCCTTAAACAAAGGCAGGATTTGCTTTTTTGGCTGACTCAGTTTTATCAATTTGAAAATATAGGCGGTACTTTTCCCAGTGAGACTTCAAAGCCCCACCACCCCCCGCCCTCCTTTTTTGAACTTTGAACAGGACAAGTCATTTATTTCACCTTGTGCCAGTTGAGGTGATGTCCAAGAGGCAAACCTCGCCTGTAAACTTCAAACAGAGCGCTCGGCTCAGACTGTCACGCTGTGTTTAGCATGTTAACTGTTAACTCCATTCCTGTTCCACCTCTTCCAATGTGCAAGACATTATTGGGCAGGAAAAGAAGCCTTTTTCTTCCTGTGGTTTTCTTATGGGATGACATAGGAAGGAGCGATCTTATAAAATGTCCTCATGCTCATCAGGCATTACAGCGTTTACTAGGGCATAGTTCATCGTGAAATTACGTGTATTAACAAAGTAACTTGGGAATTTATGGATGAATCTTTATTTTCAGAAAGGTCACTGGTAGCTTCACCTTGTATTCTAGCTGTGGTATTGACATCAAAGTTTTACATTCTGTGATCAGCTCTACTTTTCACTACAAGCAAACGAGGGCTCATTTCGACAAGTCACCAACGAACTGGGACACTTTCTGGTCCTAAACACCAATGCTCTGACTCGCCTCATCATAAGTCCTGTCCTCCTGCAACATTTGCCCGTTCTCAGTTTCTCATCCTTTTAAGAATCCTCATATGACACAGTGAATATCGACTCTGGTGTGAACCAGTCTGCAGCGTTATCAGAGGCTACGAGCAACTGTTGTGACAGTCCAGCATTTGTAAAGTCAGGTGGAAAGATAAGATTAAGTCTAATTAGGATGTTTAAACATTTGCAACATGTCCCTCCTGAAGCTTTTTTTTTAAACCACTAAATTGGCACCAATTCATCCGCGGGTAGCTGATAGTTAGCACTGGCTTTATCTGACTGCATCAGCATGTTGTTGAAACCATTCTTCCTGGACAGATAAAATGTGCACATACTTATCGCGATTTCTATTCTATTGCAATTCATTGTGCGGCCCAATCCTTAACCCTATCAAGTTAAAGTTGTAAAAACTTTCCGTACTTTGATACTTTTCAATACCACATATTTTGAAACGACACAATCTCCTGCAAACTGTCCTGGCCATATTTCAAAACCATTGTAACAGATTAGACCGATGGTATGACATGCATGTTTGTGGCTGTGCAGTGACAATGACGCATTTTACAAGATGTGGATGATTGTCGACTTGGTTTATCAGCTTGCCTTCAAAACATTCTGCCATTGTTGTCCCTGTCACAGCCCCTCTGGTTCTATACTGTCTGCATTAACTGTTCATATTCATGTGCATACTGCATCTTGTGTCAGTGTCACATGATTATTTTATAGGATCTGCACAGCTGACATGGCAAACACAAACAGGGATGTGTGTGGTAGCCGTCAGGCGTATGGATTAGATTGGCATGGTTAAAAGCAAGTTTGGTTCTCCGGGTTTAAGGGTAGCTTGAAACAGATGATGGATTATGTGATGATGGTGTGTCTCGTCAGTGCAATGAATTTGACCCTTTTTGCTGCTCTGATTATATTGACTACTTAAATTGCTTTTTGCTTTTTCCTATAAGAAAAGGATATGGCTAACCCCTTTTTATTCTCTGTATGAATTAGGCTCTGTCAAAAACAATACGAGCTTATGGTGTAAACGTTGTGCTGCTTAACCCCCCCCCCCCCTTCTTCTCTGGTTTTGATTACAGGAAAGACCGAGTGAGTTGGTGGGGGGATATTCTATCCTGCCAGACACACCCAAAAACTGACAAGATCTTGTTTCTGTTTTGTTTGTGGAAGGAAGCATCTTCCAAAATTGTTTGCTGCTTCGGCTGTGACAGACTCGTCCTTTTTTATCTCCTCCTGCTCAGTCGTTCAAGATGCATTCTTTGTTGTGAATATTAGGTCGAAATGTCACGCTGTGCGCACGCCCCCTCCTTCCTCACTCACTGCACAGACCTGTCTCAAACCACACCATAAACCTGCAGCACACGTCTTATGCTCACTTGTGAGGAGTCACTGCCATCGCCACAGCCAAGAATAGCGCAGGGATGTTGAACTCAAACTCACAGAGAGGTGTCAGGCCGCACGCTGAGAGAGAGAGGAAAAGCATTCAGGTCCCCACAGAGTTTCTGTCACAGCTGGGCCGTTTTCAAAACACATGTACTGTTTTGAAAACGTGACTCAAGGCTGTCAACTTCACCGCTGGACAACGACAGATGTTCGCTCGCATTCTGGATAATGTAACTTACATTGTTAATATGCCCTGTTCCTCCAAAATATAGTCATTTAATAAGACTGGAAAGTTAAGCCCATTTCATGCACATCGCTCCTTGACATATCCGACCATT